ATTGAGTGGGGAGAGGAATAGAGAACAATGAAAGAGACATGTCAATAGAGGGAGCTGCTATAGGTTCAAAGAGAAATCTGACACTAGGGAATTGCACAGAGATCCACAAGGATAACCCCAACTAAGAATCTAAGCAATAGTGGACAGGCTGCCTTAAATGCCCTTCCCTTATAGTGAGAATGATGACTACCTTAAATGCTATCCAGCACCGGGCGGTGGTGGTGCGCGCCTTTAATCCCAGCACTCAGGAGGCAGAGGCAGGTGGATCTCTGTGAGTTCGAGACCAGCCTGGTCTACCAAGCAAGTTCCAGGACAGCCTCCAAAACAATACAGAGAAACTCTGTCTCAACCCCCCCCCCAAAAAAAGCTATCCAGTAACTGATGGAAGCAGAAGCAGAGATCCACAGCTGAGCACTGAGCTAAACCCCTGGAATCCAGTTGCAGAGAGGGAGGAGTGATGAGCAAAGGGGTCAAGACCATACTGGGGAAACCCACAGAAACAGCTGACCTGAACAAGTGGGAACTCATGGACCCCAGTCTGACAGCTGGGGACCCATCATAGGACCAAACCAGACCCCTTGAACATGGGTATCAGCTGGGAGGACTAGGCAGTCTATGGGGCCTCTGGCAGTGGAACCAGGATGTATTCCTAGTGCACAAATGGACTTCGGGAGCCCATTCCCCATGGAGGGATGCTCTCTTAGCCTAGATACACAGGGGAGGGCCTAGGCCCTGCCCCAAATGACTTGACAGATTTTGATGACCCCTCATGGAAGGCCTCACCCTCCCTGAGGAGTGGATGGGGTCAGAGGATGGGAGGGAGAGGGAACTGGGATTGATATGTAAAATAAGATTGTTTCTAATTTAAATAAAATTAATAAAAATTTAAAAATGTGGACTTGTCCCTTGTACAGTCATGTCACTTAACAGTGGGGTTATTTATATTATGAGAAATGTGTGATTAGATGACTTCATCACTCTACAAATATCATACAGTATAATTACATAACTTACACAAATTGGCTACCGTATACCTAGGCTATAATTTCATGGAATTGGCATTGTGTGTGCAGCTCACTGTTGATAGACACATCATCATTTGTGTCTATACATTGAAGACTCTGTAGGTCATTTTAAGAGATTTCTTTTTAACATTGCGTGATGAGTTAACAATGAACGTGTTATTTAATTTCCCCATGTTTGTGGATTTTCTTAAATCTTTTACATTGTTTTGTGTTTCTTAAGACCCCAAACAAACATTTTGGTGTGGTTCTAGTTTTCTTTAATTGGCTGAGACTTGTTTGTAGTTCACCATGTGGATTATCTTAGAGTGTTTGTGGGCATGCCTGAGATGAATGTGTATTCTGCTATTTTGGGATAGAAAAGTTACTTATTTTTGTCCCATCTGATCTAAAGTGTACTTCAAGACCTTTATTCTGTATTGATTTTTCTGTTTATATGTTCTATAATTGTTGACAGTGAGCTAATGGAGCCCATTACTCCTTTTTTTTCCTGTTAAATTAGTAATCCCCTAATATTTGCCTTATTGTGCTGTTTCAGCATTTAGAATTCATATATGTTCTTGATGAGTTTATTATAATAGGAGAACTTTTTATACAGCTTTTGACATAGTAATTTATTTTATCAGATGTAAGGTAAAACTCTCTTTACTTTGTGGGTTTTTACTTGCATGGAATATCTCCTCAATCCTACTTTTAATTTGTGTGTCCTTAGTGTTGAGGTGAGTCTTACAGGTAGCCTACAGTTACCTTTGTTGTTTTCATTGAAGGAAATGTTTCATATCTTTTGATAAGAGGATAATATCTGTTATACGTAAGATACCCATTGGTAGATGATGAGCGGGTTGTTGTGGCTTAATTTTATTCTAGTTGTTTTGCAGATTTTTTCCCCTTTAATTTTTAATTGGCAGACACAGTAATATGTTTTCCTATGACGTTTTCATTCCTACTTAGTTTTATCTAGCTGCTTCCAGAGTTTTCTTTTTGGTTTCCAGCAGTTTGATGAGAGCGTGGGAAAGAGAGGGGTCTGGTGGGGGCAATGAATGAGAATTTGGGGTGTGTTTTATAAGGGCTTCTCTGAGGTGTTTTTTTCCTAGTGTCTTTTTATTATTTATGTATAATTCCTTGTCCTTATCTCTATAAATGTTTTCTTCCAGGGCTTTTATTTCACCCACTTAACTAACTGTGAAATCATTTGTTGTTCTCTGTCCTCTCTTATCACTCTACTTTCTCATTTTGGGTAGTTTTTTGTCAACTCTTTTTCTAGCTTACTGTAGAGTCTTCTCATAAAGGAATTCTTCATCTTTGATGGCGTAGTTTTCATTCTAGAATTTCCACCTGATCCTTTATTTCATTGTTTCTAGTTTCTGTTCCAGTTCCCCATTTGTTCATGAATGACGTCCACCTTTTCTATGGATTCTTTATTCTAATAATTTTTCAACATTTTAATTAAAATATAATTGTATCATTCCTTCTTTCTTTCCCCCATTCCTCTTATGTTCTACCCCTACTCCCTCCAAATGTAATTATTCCCAGATCTGTGTCACTCCGAATCTAGGTGTAGTAGATTATTTATTTGTTGTTTTCTTCTCTTTTTCTGCATCTTTGAGTTGTATGTATACCTTGATGCGGAATACCCTTTCTACCAGGCTGTTGGTGTTGAGAATTGAAACATCAAGCAAATCAAGAATTCAGATAAGTTTGGATTTTGATGTTGCCGTCAGTCATTGTCTTTAGAGCAAGTAGTCATAGAACTCTTCAAAGGATGTGAGCTGCTCCTGCGTTCCCTTATAACGCATGCCGGGGTACTAGACGTTGCTGTCTTACACACTCTTCCGTGTGAGGGCTGCATGTGTCTCTCCCTGTACGCTTGAGTCTTTGTAAGTGGCTGACCTCTGGTGCTTACTCCTCAGTGACTGCTGTGTTGGGACATTTTCTTCCTTCCAGTTTTGACAGGTCCTAGTCACTTGTCTTGAGAATGGGTCACCTTTTGAGTCCTTGGCCTCTCCTACCCATGGGAAGAAGTCCGCCTTGATCTCCTGTTGTGTATCCAGGTTAGGGGCAGGAGCTCCCCACATCCTAGCGATGATGGATGTTTTGTTTGTGTGTTTGGGTAGGTAGGATCCTGGACCAAGGTGTTTTCTTCAGCCTTGTCTGTAACCATAATGGCTCTTTGCCTTCATCTTAAGTGACAGAGCTTACTTTTCCTCCTCGTGGTTTAAATAAAACTTTTGCTACTTTAGCAAAATCGGGAAATCATGTCCGTACATCAGCAGCCACAACTTACCTTTTAATGTCTGCACATATGCACTCCCCCAAATAAATAAAGCAGGGATTTATTTTTCTTGGCTGTGTTTTCAAGTCTCCCAGAGCACTTGTGGAGGGGGGCTGTGGGCAAGTACTTGTGATTTAAAGCCTTCTTTGAGTCTGCGTCTTTAGCTATTTGCCATTGCACAATTTATTAAAAATGTAACTGATCTCTGTCTGGAGATATACCTTCGTAGATACAATGTTTACCTAGAATGTGTGAAACCCTGGTTTCAATCCCCACAGTCATGTAAAATGGATGTGTTTGTGTGTGCCTGTAATCCTGACACTGGAGACTTGAAGCTGGAGGACCAGAGGTCCAGGACATCTTTGGACACATAGCAAGTTTGAGGCCATCCTTGGATATATGAGATGCTATCTCAAAAACAAACACAAATAAACAACCCCCAAAATAATGAAGATTTCCCTTTACTTATCAGTGTGGCGCTCCTTCTCTTATGTTATTGCCCAGAGATGGAACCATTAGACTTGGTATTTTCTCTGGAATTTAGATAGTTTGCCTGGTAACTTTCCTTCTGACGAGCTCAAATTAAGTTATGGTATTGTAGATTGTCATCCTTTTGCCATTGTTAGGATTGGAGTGATGCCAGTTTTAGTTTTTCAAATATTAAAAAAAATTTAGAGTTTTTTTGGGGTAGGGTTTCTGTGGTAGGGTTTCCTGGCTGTCCTGGAACTCACTTTGTAGACCAGGTTGGCCTCAAACTCGGTGAGATCAAACTCTGCCTGCCTCTGCCTCTGCCTCTGCCTCTTGAGGGCTGGGATTAAACGGGTGTGCCACTGAGCCAATAATCCCATTAGTTTTCTAAGTCTCACATTAATTATAGTTATTAAACATTAAAATCGTATTCATAAATACAATAGAAGCAATGACAGTAAATGATACAGCTTTCTAGATGTCCTTTTTCTTAACCTAATTTTCCTTTTGATTCATTTTATTTATCTATCTATGTGTATGTGTGTCTGCATATGAGTATGAGCAAGCTTGTGGGTTCACAGAGGTCAGAAGAGAGCATCAGAGCTCCTGGGGCTGGAGTTGCAGGGCCCTTGTGAACCACCCATGTGTGTGGCCTGGGAACCCGGTCTCGAAGAGTAGCAAGGGCTTTTAACTGCTGAGACAGCTCCACAGGCTCCAGTGTTTTAATGTTAAGCTATACCAGGTTTTACTCTTCTGCACAACTCCATCTGTTAGGCTGAGACTATTTGACAGTGTTTTCTTTTTACAGTTAAGTTGTATTCAGACTGGTGAACAGATGTGTTTATCTCTCTGTGCAGAGTCTAGTTCATTCCAGTTGACACTGTGAAGCCACCAATAGGTTGTGGCTTCTTTGTGGGGATAAAATTGCCTTCTTTTATTTCCAAAGCTAAACTGTTGAAAAATTAGAGTAGCAATAGTAGTTTAGTTTAATATTCCAGGGAATGGTCCACAAGCATAATTTTATAATTAATATGTATATTAAAGATAGAACTAGTTCTAACACTTTAATGATGTAATATGCCATTCAAGAAAGATATTCTTCTATAGTTTATAAATTTGAATTTTGTACTCTTTTAATCTCCTCCTGTGTATTTTTGATTACACGATCATGTCCATAGATTGTGATTTTCTTTGATCATCAGAAAACCAATTTTTAAACCCGCCCTTTCCCCCCACAGGAAGCTTCATCAGCAGTTTGAAATGTACAAGGAGCAGGTGAAGAAGATGGGGGAGGAGTCTCAACAGCAGCAGGAGCAGAGGGGCGATGCCCCGACCTGCGGGATCTGCCACAAAACTAAGTTTGCTGACGGGTGTGGCCATAACTGTTCCTATTGCCAAACCAAGTTCTGCGCTCGCTGTGGAGGCCGAGTGTCGTTACGCTCAAACAAGGTAAGGCTTGAAAAGTGATCGTTTTCCCACAGTTCAGCCTGTTGTGAGTGAAATGGAGCCGATACCTGAAATTACTTAGCTAAAACTTTTTTACCGAATGTGAGAGGTAATCTTAAACTCACGGTTTTGGTTAGAATCCTAGGGTCTCTGCCTTTCATGCACAGTCAAGACACCTGGAGATTAATTATCTGTCCTTTGTTATGGGGAGCGAGAACTCTGTGACCAGAGAGGCTAAGATTGGTTTTTATAGCCACAGGTTTTTATTGCTCTCAGAATCTGATATAGATTTCTTTGTGACTATGGCACTTTCACAAACTTGGTAGATCATTTTTCTTCCTGGGACATTTGAAACAGGACCATTCCAGCTCTGAGATGCTTTTCTTCATTTTATCGCTTTGGATAAAATGTTTTTGTTTTTTATTGATGAAATAGCATTCAGCTATGGAATTTAAAGATCTGTTATTTCATATTTATACTAGAATTTATCTACACTTTATCCACTTTAGTGCGTATGTAAATGTTACTTGCTCAAATTAGCAAAACCAATATTACAGATGCTCTTCTCACTAAGTTCATTCCTAATTAGTATCTTTTTTTTTTTCAAGACAGGGTTCTCTGTGTAGCTTTGTAGACCTGGCTGGCTTCGAACTCAAAGAGATCTACCTGCCTTTGTCTCCTGAGTGCTGGGATTAAAGGTGTGTGCCACCACCACCTGGCCCTAATTAATATGTTATCACCAACTAATTAATTAGATAGTTCTTACAAACAGAGCTAATCTGTGTGTACATTACTTGGGAATAATTGTAGGAATTAGTTCTCCTGTGTGATGTCATGTCTTCATTTTTGTTATTGTTTCTCACAATGTTTTGTTTGCCCAGAACTAACCCTTTATTTCTTCTCATTCTTCTTCTTGGTTTGATGATAGTTTGTTCATGGGTATATGTGTGTGTGTATGTATATGTATGTGTATATGTGAATGTATGTATTTATGTGTATATGTATGAATGTGGGCGTGTGTATATGTATATATGTGTATTAATTAACACATTGATATAATTTTAAGTAAAAGTGATACAAGCAGAAATCCTTAGTCTTGGAAGGAATGTATTCAGCCTTAAATATTAGGTATAAATTTGCTAAGATATCTTCTTTTAAGATTTTGAATAGGCATTAGACTTCCCCAAATGCCTTTTGCCGTCTATTGAGATTAGTTTTTAGTTTTTCCTTTCTCTAAGATGGCAAGGTGTATCTACTGACTTTTGAATGTTAAATCAAGTCTGTTTGGAATAAACAGAGTTGAAATAAATCCCATTTGGTCATGATAGAGAATCAGTTTTATATGTTAATGATTTGCAAATGTCTTTCCTTGATTTTGGAATTAGCATCACACTGGCCTAATGGAAAAGAATAGAAAGTATTTCACTCTCTTTAGTGGGAGAGTTTGTGTAGAACTCTTATTCTTTCATTTTTTTGATGTTTGATCCACGTGTCCTACTTGTGCTACTCAATGACACAAGTCCTAGTTGAGTTATTAAAATCATATGCCAGATTTTATCTGTGATCTTATCTGGGCATGCGGTTTTACTCATTGGAAAGGTCTTAAAGTACACTTTCAATTTTTTATTTGACTCAGTGGTTTTTTTTAGTATCTGTGAATGTTTTTATAACCATATCTTCAAGGAATCTGTCCAGTTTCATATAAATGATTAAATTTATCAATGTAATGTTGCCACCCAAACCAGAAAGCCAGGCAGCAGACTTCTTTGCTTTACCACGTTCCCCCACGAGTTTTGACATTTTATTAGTTTTTTTCTATATGTGTGAACTTGTGACTGGTGTCTTTTTAGACCCGTTTGATTCTAGTGTCTTGACTGGTCCATCTGCTCCAGTCTTGGCTCCTCAGACACACGGTAGTGAGTCCTCCTCTCTCGAGTGACTGGAGTCTCTCTGGCATAAGGAGCCTCATGGTCTGTTCCCTGAATGACATTAGAGCATTTTCCTAGGTTCTCTTGTCCCAGACAAGCCACGCTACGAGCAGTTCTCCTGAATTATCCCCATCTGTGCCTGCTATGCTTTGACTCACCCTTCCTCTGCAGTCAGAAATGTCTTCTCTATAGACCTCACTCCGAAGTCCTTACCCACTCCATGAACAATGACTTGTTTCTGTCACCATAAGCATCATCTCCTTCATGATCCGCCTGTGGGAACTCTGTGACTCCACTACTTACTCCCTTGTGATACACTGGATTACACGGATCTCTACTCTAGTATCACCAAATTTCATTGTTAACCAGTTGCATCTCCTTAGTTCACTTTGACTGCTTCATGCATGTTTCTATGTACGTGGTATGCAATGGGTCGCTATATTGACGGTTGAGTGAATGACTGCAAGAAAAATGTTGGTGCACATATCATAGGCATGCGATTTTGGGATACATGTCATCACCATCATTTTTTAAACACAAGTTTAATTTATTTCTAATGATAGCTTTTCTATAAAGAATTTTAAACATGCAGTGAATCTTGATCATATATCTATTTCCATCCTCTCTGCCTCCCCTCAAAATGCCCCACAACCAGGCCTTCTGAAAACATGACTTCGTGCATTAACATAACATGACAGTGTATAGTGAACATGAAGAGGGGTGTGCTGTCTGCTAGAGAATAGGAAATATACTAGTGGGTACATATTATAAAAAAAAAAAAAGATCTTCCTCCTCACCAGCGGCTCTCAGCTCTCAACACCTCTCCAGTAAGGGATGGGCTTAGAGATGACTTCCCCTCTCTTTGGGGGGAACTTTGGCGGGGTCGATTGTGCAGTTCCTGGAGGTGACATGATCCACCTATGCAGGATCACTCTGTTTGATCTATTACATAACAATTTAAGGTTATATTTTGGAATTAGTTTGCTAACTGGTGTGTTTTCATAAAAAATGCACCTTTATTTTGGTCTAACCCACCCGCCACTACCCCTCCCCCCAGAGCATTAACCCGGCTTAATCGGCTAAACACCAGCATCCCCCACGTTCTTGAATGCAATATGTGGTCCACAACCCCCCAACTGTATTGATTAATTGGGTTGTGAGGTCGTCGCCATCCGTATGGCTTTCTGGATACCCTTTCTTTGGGCTAGGTCCCCCCCACCCCCGTTTCTTCCTTACTCCTGCGCCTCTACCTGCGGAAGCCTTGGACCCTCAGTATCCCACCTCTCTGCTTTCGATTTCGCTCTCAGCTACTGTTTCCTATCCCTAATGTGTCCCCTACCCCAACTTCCCTCTCTAGCTTTGTGGTTCCTGCAAGTGAAACACACTAAGTTCCGAGTCTGGGATCTGCACGTGAGAGAGGAAACCGAGCTTGTCTCTCTGGGCCTCGCTGTCTCACTCACTCATGCATGAATTTTTTTTCAGTTCCGTTCATTTACCCAGAGATTTCATTTTCATTTGCGACTGAGCAACATTCCGGTGTGTATCTGCCCCACCCTCCCGCACATCCATCTGTTGATGGAAGTCCTTGTCGGCTCCGCTGGCTGTGGACACGGTAGCTGTAGACATGGACGTATAAGCAGCACGATATGACGTCCTATGACCGTGTGTGCTCAGGACTAGTGTAGCCGGGCCATAGGGCAGTTTCTAGTGTTTTCAGAAACACATGGACTGCTTCCCAAGGGGATGCATTAGTTGACTTTCCCACACGCAGTCTGCAGGAGCTCTTTTTTTTTTGGCCACTTCCACACGAGTTTATTCCGGATGATGACCCTTCTCCATGGGGTGAGGTGGACTCTTGAAGCGTTTTTTAATAACGGTGGCTAAGGATGCTGACCAGTTTTAAAAACGTGCTTCCTAGCCAATTTGCATTTCTTCTTTTGAGAATTTTCTATTCAGTACTATAACCCATTTTTTTTTTTTTTTTAGGAAGGTTGTTTGTTTTCTTAATGTCTAGTCTTTTTTAGTTCTTCGTATGGCCCAATACTAACCCTGTCAGGCAAATGGCTGGCAAAGATGTCTCCCGTTCTGTGGGCCGTCTGGTCACTCACAACACTTTCCTTTGCTGCACAGAAACTGTTTAGTTTCACGGGTTTCCATTTGTTGGCCGTTGCTCTTACTTCCTGTGCTATTGGAATCTTAGTCATAAAGTCCCTTCCTGTGCCCGTAAGTTGGCGTGTGTCTCCTGCTTTTCTTCTGTAGCAGTTTCAGGGTGTCGGTTCTTACGATGGGGGGGCTTGATCCATCCGGGTTGAGTTCTGTGCAGGATGGGAGATAAAAATATAGTCTCTCTCTTTCTCTTTTTTTAGCACATTGAAGATAAGTTTGAGTGGCGCCATTTGTTGAAGGTGCTGTCTTTTCTGAAATGTGTAGTTTTGGCATCTTTAAAAAAAATCATGTAATTATAGTTGCTTGGACTTAGATCTAGGACCCCAATCCTATTATATTGAACTCTGTAGACAATATTTTTGATAAAACTCCTTCCTGCAAAAAAAAAAATCCTCTGTTTTCTTGAGGATGACAATTCAAACTAATATAAAGGTCAAGTATTAAGGCAGAATTTATTTTTTATTTATATTTATTTATTTATTTATTTATTTATTTATTTATTTATTTGGTTTTTACGAGACAGGGTTTCTCTGTATTGTTTTGGAGGCTGTCGGTCCAGCCTGGCCTCGAACTCACAGAGATCCGCCTGCCTCTGCCTCCTGAGTGCTGAGATTAAAGGCGTGCTCCACCACTGCCTGGCCCAGAATTTATTTTTTAAAGAGAGAATATTATGGTAGAATGAAAGTGGGGGCGTTCAGTTGATTAGAAAAGGTAGCATGAAGGAGAGAGTGATGGTGGTTTAAAGACTTAAAAGCACCAAGGGAGAGGGAGACTTTGATCTTTTGGTCAGCACATATATAGGGAGAAATAAAGATTATATCTAGGGAGGGTTTTGAGGGGAAACTGAGGTTCTCTTGACTGTGTTTCTTCTTTGTTTTGTTTATACATTTAAACTATTAAGACTATGATGCACAATTGCCAATTATCATAATATTTTGTCTTTAATTAGCTATTTAATTTTTCTTTTCATTTATGTAAAATTTAGAGGAAATCTGAATTAATAGAAATCATTTGTGAAGCAAATATGCAGAGAGTTCATTGTGTCTACTTTTGATAGTAGTTGAATTGAGCACTAGCGCTATGCTTTATCATTTTTGTATGTAAAGGCTTTCTAAACCTTTCTCCATTTTCCTCTGAGTTCTGTATTTGCTTAAGGTTTAATTGTGAAAAGGGCACTTTTCCCCATTCTGATGTTTGGGTATTTAATTGTTCTTATGGAAATCATTTTGTTTATATCTCAGTATATTGTAATATTTCGCATGCTCTTACTTGAATTTAATGAAATAAATGGGAGATTTTCCCTCCCAAATTTAAAGTTGAGATTTTAGAGTGAGTCAAAGTGTAAATATTTTCTGTACTCTGTTTCACTAAGAAACTCTTCAAGCCACTCTTGCTTAAGAATGGAATTAATTCTTTCTTTTTGTTTTGTCTTTTCTGTCTTTTTAAACTTGCTCTCGTGGACATTCACACCAGGAGGACAAAGTGGTTAGAGCCTTTTTTTCTTTCTGTCTAATGTACCTTTTCTTATTGTCATTGTCAGTTTAATTTTATAGCTGCATTTAATTTTATCCTAAGTATTTTGTTTGTTATATTGCATGATAGTTGCTAAACATTATAGTATATTTAAGCATGCTGATTTTACTGAAAAAAAAAACAACTTGCATTTCCTTATATTAGAGATGAAAATATTAATTTTTATAGAGGCCTGAATTTTTATAATTTAATACTTTTGTTATTACATCACAGCATTGTCCGTTATGATTAAGCCTTCCTTTACCCTACAATGTTTTCCTAAACGCATTCTTATGTTATTCAGGGTTTATAAAGTTTCCAACTTTAAGTTAATGCCTATAATAATAACTACAATACCATCAAAGTGGCTTTACTAAAATGATTGTCTTGTAGTGTATCATAAATATTTAGTATATTTCTGTTTCTCTCAATAATTTGTTTTATGAGTTAGTGAAACACACCCTAGTTTTTGATAGTTTGATATCTGCCCAGGAATGTCTGATTTGCATTTCGATCTGCTCTCAAGACTGATTACTTTGCATATAAAGACAAAAATCTTTCACAATGGAAAGATTTTTGTCTAACTTTTGAAGAGTTAGACTCAGCCATGAGCCAGTTCAAATTTGCCATTGCCAATGGCACCCATTCAAAGTAGGTGAAGACTTCTACGCAGTACCATTTTTCTTTTTAAACACCTGGAATGTTTTGATTCCTTTCAAAGTCTTCAGCTACTCAGTTGGGCACAATGCATTTTGTGGCAAGCATTTGAAATGAAATGTGAGAGCACAAGAAAGGACATTATAAGGCCTTTCCTTTTTTTAAAAAAACATGGTAGGGATCCTAACAACTTTTAGAGGCTGTTTTGAAGATCAATAGGTCAATTAATGCACAAACTGTTCATCATCTTCGATTTGGCATGGTTCTTGAGAGAACATATGAGTTTTCTTCCATCCACATTCTACTGTATCTTACCCACAGATAGGCAATCCACACAGAGATTGATCTTTAGACTCTCTGGTGACTTTTGTGTATGGCATTAATATAGGGTCATAATGGCCTAACTGCTATCTTTTTTCCTTTTTATCATGGCTCCTATCCCAGAAATTGAAAATTTAATGATGGAAACTTAGCTTCCACGTGCTGGCAAGATTTCAAAATTATCAGTCTATGGCTTAAGTTAAGGGTAGACTCATAGATAAAATATATTAGTTTGTACGGATTTGGAACATGTAAATGAAGCTGGACAGGCCTTTTTGTGACTCTTAATACAGTAGGTTGTATTCACAAGTTGCTGTTGAACTCTTGAGAAAGGTTTTACTGGTAAATTGACGATTAAATTTAATTTTAATTAATTTAAATTAAAAAACCACATGTAGCTAATAGCTAAAGCAACTAATCTTGGTAGAAAATATTATACATCCATCCCCGAGGGAGTACACAATCTCTCATACTCATATTAGCAGTAAATTAATACTAGCAGTGGACATACAAGCATTAGAGTTCCCCAAAGCATGTATGTATATCAATGACAGCATCCTATAAAGGCAAGGATGATAATGGACAAGGGTTGTCCTCTTGAGGGATAGAATCAGGAATATGAAGACAGTGACGAAAGGCCTTCTTGGATGATTGCCTTGGAGGTCTCCATAGGATGGACAAGGAAGTAAGGGCCCTCCTCCTGTAGGTGTTGCTGTGTGCCCTGGACACTTGCCCCTGCACATTCCTGTTCCTCTGTTTTGAATGTAGTTGTTACGAAAGTCACTTTTCCCTCTGTTGCTTCTTCAGTAGTTCGCAGTGATTTACACACCACGATGAGATTTGCTTTCTTTCAAAGATCTTGGCTTTTGAGTTTTTAAAAAATGAATTAGAAAAGGCTTTGGAATTGCCTTCTTTAGGATGAGACAACTATGCTGCATGTTAAATGTGTTCAAAAGGTTGAGTGGTTGAAGAAATGAACTGATGTAGATAGACCCTGCTTAGTAGGACCCCAACTGATGTAGGTAGACCCTGCTTAGTAGGACCCCAACTGATGTAGGTAGACCCTGCTTAGTAGGACCCCAACTGATATAGATAGACCCTGCTTAGTAGGACCCCAACTGATGTAGGTAGACCCTGCTTAGTAGGACCCCAACTGATATAGATAGACCCTGCTTAGTAGGACCCCAACTGATGTAGATAGACCCTGCTTAGTAGGACCCCAACTGATGTAGGTAGAGCCTGCTTAGTAGGACCCCAATTGATGTAGATAGACCCTGCTTAGTAGGATCCCAGCTGATGTAGATAGACCCTGCTTAGTAGGACCCCAACTGATGTAGATAGACCCTGCTTAGTAGGACCCCAACTGATGTAGATAGACCCTGCCTAGTAGGATCCCAGCAGATATTTTCAGTTTTCTTTTCTCTTGCCATCCCCTTTTAGACAGAGTGAAAACCCACAATGCCTTCTTAGCTCTCCTTGCAATAGGAAATGGCTGTGTCATGCAGTTGTAGTTAATGATTAGAGGAGCATTTCCAAATGCTTCTGGCAAGTCACGATCTAGAAGTACAGTAGTCACTACTACCTTTCATGCTAATGCGGCAGCGTGACGTGACTTGTTATTTATCAATATGAAGGAAAGGCCACGAGTATCAGAGTCACCAGGGCACATTTGGACCAGTGTTCTCTTGGGACAGAACCAGTGTATTTGCTGGCCCACTCTCCACTCCAAGAATTAACCAAGGGCTACGTTGAGTTTGTATTGTTTTTGTAGTCACTCGTGTTACCTTGACCCAAACTATTCTGAAGTATGTTTTTCATGCCTACTGCTGGGATTTTTATTAGTCCATGATTCTTGTGAAGAGCATTGTCAGCTGAAGTAGCTTAACTTACACACACACACACTCACACACTCACTCACACACATACACACACTCACACATACACATACTCACACATACACACACACTCACACATAGTCATAACTCACACACAGTCACACACTCACACGAACACACATACTCATACATACACACATGCACAAACACACACATTCACACACATATACACACATGCACACACTCACACATACACACACATACACACACTCACACACACAGACAGACATGCACACATCAGGGCCTCATTTTCCTGTTGCAGGGACCTGCGAGTCCTCAAGAGGAAATGAGACTCTGTGCTCTTCCCTCATTCCTACTGGGGTGTTGTCTGGTGAGCTCCCGTGCAGATCTTGTGCCGGCAGCCATGGCTGTTCAGAATTCACAGGTGCATGTCCCTGACTTCCCCAGCAGTTTTCTGTGTCTCTTTGCGTGTTTTCACCCCTCTCCTCTAACACAGAGGAGCGCCCCTGAACGGTGGGGCACACAGGTTGTGTCACGTCTGTCTCCTTGGGGATGTGTGCTCCACACTCCCTGGTTTCCTGCACTTTGCTCAGTTGGAGCTTCCACGATGAGGTGTGAGAGCTGCACTCATGCTTATAAGGAGAAGTGGTTAGGAGACAGTGGATATATGCTAACTTAGCAGGATGGGAGTAGAAGATTCTCCTCTAGGGCTTGTGACCCTAGCCATGGTTCTTTGCTAGGCTTTCAGTGCTGGGTGTGACTGCCCTCCTCTCGCATGGCCTTTATTCCAGTCGGACGGCCGTTGGCTACCTTCACTGGGTTATTTCCACTACTGCGTTGGCCGTCACTGCAGTTCCCAGTGTTCACAGCTCAGCAGGACTGTTGATGACTGTTTACATAGCACCTTTGACGCTTTGGAAGTTAGTCATCAGGAAGGAAGCTTCTAGGTCAGTACTAACGCATTTCTCCACGTTCTGTGTCCAAAGTGTGTGGTGTCATCAGCAATAGAACAAATAAATAGAGAGAAAAAATAGTAGAAGAACTTACCCTCAAGTTCTGTCAGTCACCCGAGAGCCACGGCAGTAGCCCAGATTGACTCTGAACCACCGGCCGAACAGCTAGGTGGCTGGTATCCTGTGTCTCTCACAGGCCTTGCTGTTTGATGGTCTGTGACTCCTGGAGAGAGCATTATTCCTTCATGTTCCTCCACAGTATTCCTTCCACGTAGAGTACGTTTTTGGTAGATATTTCCGAGATATTCAAAGAGATATATTGTGAAAAAACATCTACTCATAGTTAGTCACAACAAAATATGTATAGTGTGAAATGAAACATCATATAATTGCAGTGAGTAGGTTTAAAGACTGGATATTTTCTACTGGAATGAGTTAAAAGATAATAATTATGAATACGCAGTTCTTTAAAGTAACAAGTACAAATTTTAATTGGAATTACTAAATTTAAGAAAAGTTTACTAGAAGCTCATTTGTTAAGGAAAGAGGTAGATTGATTATCTCTCAAAGTTGTTGATAAATCTCTTGATAAATGTTACTTTTAAACCTCATTAGAATTTGATATCCGTTCTCTTTTGTTTTAAGAGATGCATTTGCTGGGGAAATTCTCCTCAGTTAAGACCATTTGAATGGAAGTTCAGTAATAACCGTTCACTCAATTCTTTGAATCTTTCCCAAGTTATGTGACAGAAGTGTGCTGGTGTGTCATCAAAAATTATCTTAAATTACATATCAGTTGACCACTAATTCAGGTTTTCCTTCAATATTCTGAAAACAAAGAATGTAAAACATTAGATTTTCAAAATCTATCAGCGAGTTAGTGATTCATTCTGTCAGTTTCTGGGAGTTATACCAAAAAGGCATTACCGACTATCAAATGACTATTCTTATTTTGTGTGACTTAGAAATACCTTGTTTAAAGCCAGTATCATAAGAAAGACTTGGAAAATGTTAACTTTAGTATTCTGCCAATTACAATTTATACTGTGAAAATATTATTGCATTCTCCTATGCTCATTTTTAATATCTTTTAGAACTGTCTATCCTGCTTTTGGTTTGTAGGGAAATGGAACACATTAGCTAATAGGCAAAGACAATGTAGTTGTCAAACCTAACCAGCTAGTGA